ATAGCGATTAGACGAATGAGGTCGAACGACGTCGAGAAGGTCGCTCCGGGTGTACTCGTTTCTATTGCCGAGTGTTCTCTCATCTAAATGAAACGTCACGCTAGCGTTTTTACGAGTACGCCCACTGGAAGCTGTGGCCCGTGTACGTAGAGAGCCGTTAACGGTCTGAGTCCTAACGACTTCTCTACGATAACGTTAACTGAGAATTTTTGATCCCAAGTGTGCCGGTGTGATCCAGATGAACTGGCGATATTTGGAGGCGACTGTGGGGTGGCGTCACACAGAACGTATTTCAAGCTAAACGAATCTCCACACACTTCGGGAGTGCTACCTACGCGTATGGAGTATGGAGTGCGCTATTCGCTGTGCCTCCTATTGTTATACTCAAAGGAGAAGAGAAGTATGGTCGTTATGGATGGATGCTGCGGAGTTGGTGGATCGCCAGCAAGGTGACATTCTCCGACTACATCCCCGAAGTCCTGCTCCGTACAAGAGACACGAGTATACGCTATTGGTGAGACTTAATTTTGACAAGGGTACTTTTGTATTTTGAATCGGACACTGAAAAAAATAAGTAACCAATCGGGTACTTTTGAATCTTTACTTGTCAGTTATGGCTATGTTTGCAATATGTGATATATATTTATATATTTTTCTAATTCTAGAGATATCCATGTACCCCTCACGTGTAACCTAGGATACGAAGCGCGAGTATGGTGACAGCTTTTGGGTCCGCGCGTAGCGCGAGTTTGGTGACAGTTTCAAGTGGAGAAGACTACCTTGGTTTACACGACATGAACATCCTGCTGGCGTTTAAGATCCGTGTGCGTAGCACGCGGGGTTAAACCCAGTTGTACAAGTGGACAAGCGAAGGCGAAGCCGGAGCGGGCTTAGGGTTTTGTCGAAGCGAGCTCAGCGAGCAACTAAGGGTTTTGGGGTCCGCGCGTAGCGCGAGTTTGGTGACAGTTTCAAGTGGAGAAGACTACCTTGGTTTACGTGCACAGAGCTGGAGGTAGGTTTGCGTACGTCGGTAAATAGAAGAAGGACTGGATGGCACAAGTTAATGTTCGCCGGTATGAAGTTGTACGATGATAAGTTGACCGTCTCCTGGACTTGAGGACCACTTGCTGTTCATGTCGCACTTCAACGACCATCACTCTTGTCCGCATTATATTGATGTCGCCCCACCTGTTGTAACCATTTGCGTTGGTTTGAATGATTATGTCATTCCTCCTTTCTTATGTGTTGCCTTTCAGTCTACAAATCGCCGGTACAACCACAATGGTGCAGACGAGAAAGCGCGCTCGGCTGGCTGCTGCTAGCGACAATGTAATGCACGAAGGAGGCGAAGACGCTTCAAGCAGCGACGACTTGAGCGTCCCAGCGGCAGTAGCATCACCAGTCGCGCACCTCACAGAATGCCAGCTCGGAGAAAGGCAACAGGATCTGACTGGTCTTGCTCTTGCTCAGACCTACCACGACAGCGACGATCTGCAGACTGCACGTGAAGACCCAACATTCAGAACTAGCCGATTGAAAACGAATATACTACCCTCTTTTTCGAACTATGTTGGTCACTTTTGCCGGTTGAGCAGGTTACTAGTAACCAGGGTAACCAACGCATAAGTATCCGATCGAGCATATAATTTCGCAAGTATCCGATTCAAAATATAAAAGTACCCGACTCAAAATTTCCACCCGCTATTGGTACGCTTTCTGGGGCGCTCTCAAGGCACCTGGATGCGCCTGTACGCGGTGGGAGAAGCCACCTGCTGGCTAGTACTACTATGCCTGTCCCTGCTGCTGTACATCCCGGTCAACGTCTTTGATCTGGTGGAGTTCGTACTCCTAGGACCTGTGGGTGTGGGGACTGTACTGTTGCTCTTACTAGCCACCAACTACTGCCTCGAGTGGACCGGCTGGAGTCTCGCCGACACTCTTGTCGTGGTGGTCGCCGGTGTGGTATCTCACGCTTGTCGTCAATATGACGAGGGAAGCCCCCTCAGAACTGTCTCCCCTAAAGTACTGGTCGAACTAGCATTGACAAGTACCCGCTGAAACGCTTCCCAGCGTAGTATGGCCGAAGCCCGGAATATCGAACGTCTGCGGGTCGACGACGACGTCGAAGTGCTATATGACTTTCAAGCCGCCGACCCTGACTACGTTGAGGACCGCTCCGAGGCCTACCCCGAAGCGGTCCAGCCTCCCCTGTCTGACGAAGTTACTAACGACGGAGTCAATAGGACTAACGAGAGAGATGTACGCAGAGGATCCGTTCGACGAGGACGACGAACGACAAGTCGGGGAGGATGTCCCGTACCCGGGAACGGAGGGGTCATTCCAGGAGCTCTGCCTCCCGTCGGGATGACTCGAGACCCTGGAATCACTCCTCGTCCGGCCGTCCCGTCAGGGTGGTTCCCGTTAAACCCGACAACGTACGTGCCCCTGGCCGATCCCGTTAGGGTGGTCCTATAAGGGGGCCCCAGAACGCCGGTGTCTTAGCGTCGTGGGACCAAAGCACCTCGCGTCATCAAGCCCCTTCCCAGAAGCTCTCCGTTGTCCCACGAGGGCTGACAACAAACGAAGTGAATCCTTTTTTTTTTTTAAGAAGTAGTGTAGTGTATGTAAGGTCGAGAAGGTGTTAGACCTCTCTTCCAGTTAGCTCTCAGTCTTATATTTCCCTCCTTCTACTCAATAGGAAGGCAAAGCCAATCAACAACTTTTATTTTCAACTCTCTAGTGTTCCTATCTACCGCTCCTGCAGCCACGGAACAAGACCGTACTCCCTGAACAGCCGCGGACTACCCGACCCTTGAAGGAAGAGGAGGTATACGACAACTGGTGGAGAAGCAGGGTAGTCTGCTTGCTGGAGAAGGTTTTGTTCCAAGTGAAGACTCGCGGAGAGCGTCAGAAGGAAGGACAAGATGTCGGCTACTAGCAACAGAGAAGATGAGAGCGCCACTATCCGAAAAGAAGAAGGTCAGACTGAGAGTCTGCCTTCGAGGATGCGACCCAGTCTGTCGACTACGCAAGGCCTCCAAAACGTGCAGAATATCGTAGACCAAGCGGCTAACCGACTAGGAGGAAACAGCTCTAGTGCTGGTGTCGAGCCACCCGCGGACGCTTTGGGCTCCGGGGTCCCTGCGACCTTCACTACGGAAGAATTGGGCCCGATGCTGACCATGGACGGCGGTGGCGGCCGAGGTACGGTGCAAGGCTGGCTCAACTCCCTCAACTGGTTGAGATCCGTGGCTCCTCCTGAGATTGCCGCTGCTATGGAGAGAACCGGTGGGAACGGTCTCGTGGGGACTCCCCCTCCTACAACTCGAGTAAGGACTGCAATCCCGTCGTACCAAGGTTTCACAATCCGAACCCCGACTACATCATATGGGCAGGACTTCAACCCGTTC